GACAAGTTATTAAGATAGCCCCGCGAAGTGCTCGTCGGGTGAACACTGACTGATCGTGCTAGAGGGAACGGGTGAAAATAGCCTCCTGCCTCTCTTCACTTGACTAAGTATTCATGGTATCTGCGTCCGCACGATGTCTTCTCGTGTATTCCTGCTCCTCGCCGCCTGACGCCGTGATCGACCTCACAAGAAAAAAGGCCTCATTTTTAGGTTTTTTTTTACAATTATTTTCCTTTTTGCTCAATGACGGCCCTCTTTGTAGTTCTTGTTTCATCTTTGAGCGGAATTACACGCCCTTACGATCGTGACCCAGACCCACTTCTCCAAGGCGGAGCCTATGACGAGAAGACCGCACGCTAGAGCTCGAGGTAGTGGTTTTCCGTAGTGCAGGGATGAGAAAAAAGAAAACAAACTAGAACCAAAACGGGACCCCATTCCGCAGGTTGATCTGCGCGTTTAACCAGCTGACTTCATCCGAATTATCGCTCTTTTCGCTAGGCGGATTAAAGTCGCACGGCCAAGGGTGGGCGGCATGTTGTTAGAGCGGTGCAGGGACGAGCATGCTAGACTGCAGCGGACACGCCAGCCCGCACCCTAGAAGGTCCGCTTGTCTTTTTAATAAGTGGGTTCCCCTTTCTTTGACCTCCGTAGTGGAATCCTTCGAAAAATTGAAATCTTTAAAGTGAACAAGCAGCATTCCCGTTTAGCTCCACATCGTGATCTTGTCAAGACTAGGAAATACTCACGTGGTGTTGGTGGTTGATGTGGCGGTTTATCGGCAGCCCGTGTCACATTTACCATTTCCATCATTGCATTGTACCAGTTGTCAGCCGTTTGGGTGTCTCCGATTTGATTCAGTTCATCAAGTGTAGAAGAGGGAAAAGTGTGGCCGTAAGACGACACAGCGATACAGCTGGAAATTTTTATCAAGGAGAGAACCGGTGATTTTGGCTGAATATAGACTTCACACTTCTGAATAGGGTGACCGCCCGTTGCGCTACGACCAACGAGGGGGTCGTATTTGGCTAATGGAAGGGGGAAGGGTCGTAAGCTCAATTACCAGTCACAAAATTTGAAGGTACCAAGGCATGGCAAAGTGGCAAAGAAGACAGACTTCAATACCACTGCGACTGCTAATCACAGACGATTGAATGGCGCATCCCAGAGCAGGAGATTCTGTTGAATCTCTTCATGTTCCACTAATTGTAAGTAGGAAATTCTTCCAGAGAAACCCTGACGTTTCCAGACCAAACCTCCGGCAGGTTGACTTCTAGACTCCTAACTGAAAATTATGGCAGGAGAAAAGGTTTTCATTTCACGGCTTCTCGGGATAGTCTAGCGTACGTATAGAACACTACTCTTGTAGATTTCAACTGTTTTTACAGCTTTTGACTTTATCAATTTTTGAGAAACTCATGGGCGTTTGAAGATTGAAAACTAGCGTTTCAAGAAAATGGCCTGAAAAAGCCATAGGGGGAAGAACGGAACAACGATACCGTTTTTTATAGACTGGTACTTTGAAAAAGTTCAAGAATTTTTTCCGAGAGCCCTGATTCCCTAGCTTCTAATTAGCCTTAGAGATCTGCAGTCCGGCGAGCCTTTTTCCCTTCCCACTCCTCCCTCTCTTTCCATGTCGATGACGCTCCCCCGTCTTCCATGTCGATGAAGACCCAAACATGAATGAAGGCCGTGAAATTATGCAAATAGATAGAAATAGTGATGCAGGGGTCCAAACTGAAGAAGGGGGGTCTAAAACTTGAAAATCTGCTCCAACGCACGGTTGACCCTGCTTCCAACCTTTACCACATTACATGATATTATCGAGGAGAACTAATATAGAGGGTCTATGATATAATAACAGCTCGCGCCCTTCCATAGCAGTGATCAGCTAGCTTATCTAGCCTTTTACGAGCTGATCAAGTCCTAACATGAGCATGAGCAGCTTCAAATTGAAAAAGTGGAGGCTCTTGAAGTGTAAAGCTTGGATTCAACTAACCCTTAGCATTCACGATATTACGAAAGGATTATTTTAATTAAAAAAACTCACCTTATCGTGAATCCAAGAACTGTTACCCTCAATTCGTCGTAGAAGCACTGCATTTGAATTTTCCACCCCCCCCCCCCCCCCCCCCCCCCCCCCCCCCCCCCCCCCCCCCCCCCCCCCCCCCCCCCCCCCCCCCCCCCCCCCCCCCCCCCCCCCCCCCCCCCCCCCCCCCCCCCCCCCCCCCCCCCCCCCCCCCCCCTTAAGCATACATTTACGAGTGACATTTTTTTTTTTTCTCAGTCGTTATACGAATAAAAATCACCGACAATCAATCGCTGACTGATTTCCACATTGATGGGACTCTCCGGGTCCGCCCTCTCGAACGCTGACGCTGTCTCAGTTCAATGGCCAGAGCAAGACTGCGAGGTGTTACTTATACAAGACGCCCTACAGGAGCCTCTAGAGGGCGCGCCTGCCCTCCCACTAAGATATATTTTTTTTTCGACCTAACTCGAAAGAAAGATTCCCACGATAAGGTTGAAATAGACAGGAATGAAGAAGCGCCTACCTAGTGCAAAAGACAGGCGATGTCAGACTTTGCGAATCGCGCGATTCGCTAGCGTCTGCGGTCGCGTCGCGGCCAGTGAATCACTCAATTGGCTGGTACCGCAACGCGACCGCGGACGCTAGCGAATCGCGCGAATCGCTAGTAGCGAATCGCGATTCGCAAAGTCTGACATCGGCCTCAGCGCGACAGTTCCTGAGGGCGGACCGGCATCAATTCGCAGCAATGGTAGGGATCTACCCGACCTACCGTGACCGGTTCGTCCCACGCCACTATTGACACGGCACGCCCACCGACTGGCTAACTTCTCGCCTCAGTTCTCTATACATTCAGCAGAGAGCGCGTTAGGGTTGAAGAGGACAGCAGCGATGAGAGTGGCATCTATGCGGAAATCAACTGCCAAGGAAGAATCACAGTTCTCGCGATTCTAGGCATTCTATGGTTTTCTTCATCAAGCATCCCTGAGCTCCTCTACATTTGTTGCTCTCTCTAATCGCATACGTTCCGCCAGAGTTCGAAAAAACTTCACCCTGACTGTGTGACATAAAATATATATTTAGAGGAGGATAAAGTCAGTCCTTCTGCTTTACTCAGAATATTAGAAAAGACTCTGAAAGCAAAGCAGTTATGAGCAGTAAATTTAAGCGATCTCATTTTCGCAATGGTTTTGCCACATTGAACAGAAAAATACTCGAATTCATACAATTTGAAACTTCGAACATGAACTTCACCTCTTACTGCCCTATTTTCTGAAGATTGGGCTTTTTATTGGAAGTTACCTTTGCGGATAAATTTGGCTGCAAAACTGTCTGCGGAGATAGTTGGACTTGTAGAACACGAGCATCACGTCATTCGAAACCCCAAACAGCAAGCTGGTACCCCCGCCAGGAGGCCGTCGCCAATGGGTCAAAGAAAGCAGGTCCAGCCGCGAGTCGCAGTCGCCAGCACACTGATGGCGATGGTCGACGAACAATAGGCACAACTCTCGTCAAACTCAACGTCGTTTCCAACACGGTGCCGGCGGCGTCCGCTGATTCAGCATGTTGCCACCACGGCCGCCGTGTCGGAACCCGAGCAGCTGTACCACCCAAAAGCGCCGACCGCCAAAAAGCCGCTCGAATCCTGTGACCACAAAATTATGGGAAAGCACCCAGGGCACGACACCTGATATGATATGATGATCTTGTGAGCCGATATTACACCGCTCACAGCGGATAAGCCGACAGCCTCAGTCGCTGTTGCCACGCGGGTTTCGGATATTTGCGTAGGTACCTCAAACTTGGGTAATCAAACTTTTATATACCTTATATTTAGTATTATAAACAGTATGCTAAAGAGAACTGAAGGACTTGGAATTAGTGAATCTGTCATCCTTATATTCATGCATCATGGGCGGGCATCCTCAATACATTCCTCATAACCGATCACTCGGAAGATAAGTATTTCCTCAAGGTACAAATGACTTATCTCAGAGACCTCTACAAAAGAAACACTAATAAATAAGGAGTCGGGTATAATGACACCACACAATTACACTACTGCGATTTGCTACTAAAAGGGTCTTCTCTATAGCGCAAACGCTTGGCATCTCCGCCACAAGCGACACTTCGTTTGGTATTGGCACTTGCTTGGTAGGCATCCACCGCTTTCACTTCAAATGGATGTAGTAATCATACCCCACGGGTGAAACCGCTTTGTAGCAAATTTTTGGCCAAAGTTACCTCCAAAGACAAACTCAAAAAAATCCAGCTCAATCTTCGAAGAGTCGGGCAGCAACGGGTAAATGGTGCTCAATGGGTCAACCTAGAATAGTGCGACTCACATGTCAAGGTTTATGGCACCGGTATTGTTGCGGTAAGGGAATACTCCTGTCAACGTGTTGTATAAGTTCTGCGTCGTATAGTTGGCAAAGTCATGATTAAGCCTTAATGTATTAGCGTTGTCGGTGAGCATAATTTGAAGACTGTCGATGTTGTAGAGCCCAACAAACTCCAGTATGGCATTCTGAAATTTGCAACATAACTACTCAAAAGCTAGCAAGTAATTCTTATTCAACTCACAACTGAAGAATTGAAAGCTGTGTCATCAACGCCAACAGAATCCAAAATAAATACCATATTGAGTTTCTCGGAAGGCGAGCGCTCTGAAAAATTAACCCTTAAGGCATAAACCTTTATTTTTCATCTCTTTGTTTTCATTTATTTGTATTTTTGTTTTCATTTTTATCCCCTCAGTCGCGAAATTCAGCAGCAGGGATACGTCCCTCAGACTGCTTCCATACTTGCGCCGCTGCGGGCAGTGCAGAGGGCACTGGAATAGCGTCAACACGCGCACTAGCGCATGACGCGTACTTGGCGCACCATCGGTTCCTCTCGCCATATGGTCTCGGTCTTTTTGAAAGACCTTTTCTTCTATATAATTAGCGTAATAAAAAAATATAAAAAATACCAAAATGGGAAAGCAATATTTTTTAATTAAAAAAATTAATTAAATCAATAATTAAAATATTAATGAAAAATAAAATAATAATATCAAATGGGAAAAATACAAAATGCTGAGAAGCGCTTTCGATAAAAAATTGACCAAGTTTTATGGCCACATTGAGAAAAAAGTAATCTACTCCAGGAACAAAAACGCTTTCTATAGGTTTCTCAATTCCAAGCTCAAAAAGGGACAGAGTCTCGGTGCATTGCTTGATGATGAATGGTAATGTCATAAGGAATGAAAAAGATATAGCAGAGCTTTTTGCGAGTGTTTTTGAGAAAGTACATCAAAGAGATGAGGACTCCAGAGATTTAGACGTAGCTCCTGTTTTTTCCCGTTATGAGGGATTCGGTCTGGTTCCATCACGAAGAAATCTGCAGGTTACTAGTCAGATGGCCGAATTCTCACTCGGACACACCTGACCATATTCCTCTCAGCTTCATTAAGAAGGTAGCACACATAATCTCTGGTCCACTCGCGTTCATCTTTAATTTGAGTTTTATGCGCGCCGAGGTGCCAGATAGGTGGCGGCTTTCTTTCGTAACTCCCATTCCGAAAAGGATGCCTCACTCATCCCCGAGCAATTACAGACCTGTAAGCATAACATCGATCTTCGCTAGATTATTTGAAAAAATCATGAAGAAGAGGATTGTGATGCACCTGGATGAGTACAACATTATCTCGGATGACCAACACGGCTTTCAAAAGGGTAAATCCACTGTAACTGCTATGTTACAATCTCTCAATGACTGGACATCTTACATTGATAATGGCATAGGGCTGGACGTGATTTACTTGGATTTTGAAAAAGCATTCGACAAAGTTTCCCATCAGAAGCTCATCTCCAAGCTTATCATGGTTGGTATTCATCCGAGGATAACAGCTTGGATTGAAGCCTTCCTTACGAATAGGACCTTCGCAATTCGTGTCAAGACAGCGTTTTCTGAGCCCAGACCGGTGTATAGTGGGGTACCACAAGGTGGTGTACTGTCACCCATCCTTTTCAATATATTCACTTTCGAGCTACCATCTTTAGTCATTACTAGAGGGGTGAAATGTGTTGCTTTCGCGGATGACTTTAAATTGTATCATCCAGTGTCATCTGACTTGGACAAGGAATTGTTACAAAAAGCTATCAATGATGTTAACAACTGGGCCGTACAGTGGAAATTGCCTATATCGATTAATAAGTCCAAGGTTCTTCATTTGGGAAAAGTTGCTGTTGCATCCTCCTATTCGATAGGTGGGGTCCAATTAGAAAGTGTCAAGGATATTAGAGACCTTGGCTTCCATATTCGAAGTGATCTCAGTTTTGACGATCACTGCTCGAAGATCGTTGCCAAAGCCATGGCAATGATGTTCAACTTGTTCAGAGCTCTGTCGACAAGGGATTCCCGGGTGCTTCTCAGGGCCTTCAAAACATACATTAGGCCGTTGTTAGAGTATGGCACAGTGGTGTTCAATCCTCACAAAATAAAAGTTATTCAAGCTATAGAAAGAGTTCAGAATAGTTTCACAAGGAAAGTTTTTGTCAGGGTAGTCGGCTTCCGTTATGATCAAATACCCAGTAGTAGAGTGCGCAACGCTAACCTTGATCTTGAGACCCTAGCGTCTAGAAGAAAAAAATTCGACTTGATAACGTGCTTTAAGATATTCCACGGCTACTCTAGGATCAAATCTAGCAGCTTTTTATCAATTAGTGAGTCAAGAACAAGGGGTATCTCTATGAAAACGTCCGTTCGTCGAGCTAAACATAGTATCAGGCACCACTTTTTTGTGAACAGGACTTGCTCAGAGTTCAACAGACTGCTTCGATTAGGAGTCGTCACGAGTAAACTAAACTCATTCAAAGTCGCTCTGGAAAAGTATCTTGCGTCGTAGAGGTTATTTTTCGTAGTTATTGTATATCTATTAGATTGCTTAATTAGTTTTTTTCTTTCATTGTTTGTAGGACTGTTGATTTGGTTATCTAATTCTACTTGTACCGCATAGGCTTCAGTCTATGCAATAAACAATTACAATTACAAAATGTAACCTACGATTAACACTCCTGAATTGATCAAGTCGAAGTGGCGTATGCTCGAAGTAATTCATTAGTCAAAAATATCCTTCTATTATATAAAGCGCTAACTTTGTGTGTCGGTTTGTGTATCTGTATGTGTGTGTGTGTGTGTGTGTGTGTGCGTGTGTGTGTGTGTGTGTGTATGTGTGTCCGTCCGCAAAATGAAGTGAGTGAGAAGGAAGCTCATGGGATAAACAAACCGCTAACAAATAGCTTACAGGATTTGAGATATCAATGTTTTGTAGCAGGATAGTTGTGATAACACTCTTAGGGCTATATAAACACCTGCTTAGCACACTTCCGTTCATTCCACATGGTGCTGCAGTGGCAGCTGGAGGGCAGTGGAGAGAGGAAGAGGATGAGGAAGGGAAGCGAAAAATCTACCGTCATATCATGATTGTGTCCCTTCTACTGTATGAAACACCATTGTGTTGCATACGCGTCACTTCCAGGAGGTGTTGGTGTCACAGGAGGAAGGGACCATAGCGGAGGATAGAAAGCTTGCGCAGGAAAGGAAGGTCCCGGCGGTTGACGGGGGACTAATCTGGTCATACATAAAAGAAAATTCGAGTCCCGAAAAACAACAACAAGAAAAACATTGCACGCAGAACATTCGAAAAATACACAGGATGTCTTGAAATTAGAATTTATCGATCGAGAGAGGTACCGACTGTGCGCCAAGTACGCGTTATGCGCCAGTGCTGCGTGTTAACACTCTTTAAAGTGTCCGCAAACGGCGCAAAGCATGAAGCAGCCTCACAAAGGAAGAAAAGGCCTTCCCTTTGTTTGGCCACAAGCGTTTCTTCACATATTTCGCTGAGAGGTGCAGATCAACGGCGCTTTTCCCTCATCGCAGAAGCAACCTTTCCGCTCGACGTTGGCATCTTGTTTGTTGCTTTTTTTACTAGTAAATAGAAACGCTGCGCTCGTGCGAAAATCTGACGCGCATACCACACCAAATTGCACACGTCCACAGCAGTAAAAAAGTCAAAAACCCTTACTGTCATGATTGTTAGCTAAAAAAAAAATACTGCTAAGAAAAATAATTCACTCACGATCACAGAAATCTCCGTACATGTTCGGAGGGCAGATGCACACACCACCTTCTCTGGTCCCGCCGTTCACACATATAGGTAGCCCACAGTCTGGACCTTCCCAGCCCTGACACACACAAGCTCCGTCAACAAGTTGACCATTGTTTTTGCAAGAATCTAAATAAAATATCCCACATAAAAGTTAACAATGCTAGCTACAGTTATTTTTGTTCGAAAAGTGAAGAGGGTCTATGGATGTGGTATAACATAACGGTGTTTCGTGCCAACTTGGCTGCACGCCGCGGAACATGTTAATGTTACCCCGTAGCCTTGCGGCCAGGACTTAAAAGCAGGCGTCGCGAAGGAACAGGTGTCTTTGTCAGCAATTAACACAGAATTGCGAGAGGAGTTTTGTGAGCTAAAATCAAAAAAAGACCATGAAACACGTATGAACTTCTTCTGTAAGGTCGACCGGGTAGCTTACGGAGCGACCACTTGCGCGCGAGAGATGGAAAACGCGTGAGAGCACGTCGTATGCGAGAGGGCGCAGACGTCACAAATGCTTCTATTGGTGTGGCAGCGCTCGCAGCGTTGAAGCAAAGGCATTAGCTTCCTTGTCGTGCGTGTCGGACAGTATCCGCCACCTCTGAGATGGGTCCTGTCACCTATGTCAAGGCGAGAATTTGACCTATGATAAAATCGCGATCAGTGCTGTTAAAACTGAGAAGGTGAGCTCAAAAGTTCAGAAGGCAATTGGAATGTAGACGAATGGGGACGAATGAAGAGGGTAAAGACCCAGAACCGCAAAGAAAAAAATTGTCCCTTCTGAATCTGGCACTCTGCAACCAAGAACACAAAGAACTCGAATAGCGAGAACAGATTGAGGAAGCATACGAGAAGAGGAGCGGCATCGGAAGCAACATGCACCATACCCAAAAGCAGTACTGGAGCTCCAAGGAAGAGGGCCTGCGGCGCTTCACGACGAAGTATGAGCATCTGGTCTCGAACAAGGACTCCAGTACCGTGTACGAGCACTCCGCCACCGAATGACGGATCCTCGCGCATAGGTGCGGCAATCTTGAGCGTCGTAGGTTTTATGAAAGCGGTTCGCGGAAAGTGTTTCACCATTGCAATGAGCGGAGCCCCACTATCCTCTAATCAACGGGCAAAGTTTTTCAGTGAATGTCGACCTGACTTCGCCTCTAGATAAACATTCATAACATCCCAGAAGATGTTATCCAGAGCACCTGCAGTTCTAATGGATGCGTTCATCAGTTCGAGAATCGTAAGATCGCAATTAGGCGATCAATACTGAGCCCAAAGAAAAGTATACGCCTCGATTATTATAGCGAGTAGACGATCATTGCGAATGGAGGTAGTGATACAGGGAAAGGAGTACGTATTGATTTGTTACTTCGCTGCCCATTGAGCCGATCGCCACTAATTCGCCCTATTCGCCTACTCGCCCAACATTCTGTGCACGGCAAAACCAACCGATACACACGTAGTCTTCCCCGCTAAATCGCTGGCTCGCCTACTCGCATAATCAAGTAGGATCGCCAACTATGAACGCTCCATAAGGTATCAAATCGATGGAGCTCGTCATGAACACTTGATTGAGTTCCTCTACTCTACCAGTCCGTAGCCAACCAGGTAATCTTGTTGCATTGTCGCTTTAAGACGGTGATAAAAACGTTGGATCTGAAACAAAATTCTTGAGTATATTTTTAATTGCTTTTTGGAGCATGCCGTATATACCTTGTCATATTTAGAGTTGAATAAAATCCTTATCACCTGAGCTTGATAACCGAATATGTCCTGTGTACAATTCAGTTCAGCATAGTAGCTGTAGGCGCAAGTTGAATTCTTTGCCGTAGTTAAGACTGAAACTGCGTTCCCAAGTGTGCCATTCCTCGCATCGGCGAAGTTTGCATCAGGCATCATAGACAGGTCTGCTTGATCATTGGCTACAGAGTTAGCCACCGACAGTGACATGTAGTTCAGCCCTGAAACATGGCGCTTTATTGTTCGCAGTTCGGATCATGTTGTAAGGCTTCTTGTGTATTGCTGTTCACACACGGGATAACCTTATTTCCGTAAACAACAACATCCTATATGCTTGTACGAAATTCGGAGCCAGAGCCGTAAATGACACCGAACTCTCTCTTTTATGAAACTATCTTCGTTTTTCACAGATCATCTCATAAAGAGATGGTTCGATGTAATTTTTCAGCTTGGGTACCCAATATTAGTAGAACAACAGGCATATCATCAAAGGCACAACCCAGGCAGAAGTCGTGTGAACATTCCCTTCGGTCTGTAGGATAGACCCCTAGAGGACAATCACAGATGTGGCATTCCCGTGCACGGAAATCAACCGACAAGAGCTTAGGGCCTTGCAAAGTAAGCTGCTGAAGCTGCAGTTTTTTCTCTTATCAGGCTGTTGTCTTCTCTCATCTGTAGCGCTCTCTCGCCTCATACTCTCCTCTCCGCGCTTAGTCTCTCATTCCCTTAGCACAGCCGATTAGGAAGGTGAGTGAGCCCTTAACCTAAGCGTTTTCGACGGATTCTTTTCCTTTTTTCTTCACTGCCGGCCCATTTCACCAATACATTCGCATTCGTGTGCAAGAGCCACACCAATTCGATCCTGGGGCATGCCTTTAAGTAATAAAGCAATATAGGCAGCCTCTTTTCCACCCTCGTTACCCCATTATGCAAATGTTCGCAGGAGACAATCCTCGACAAGGATCTTTAGCTTGACCATTTTGCAATGCGCCATGCACTCAATTTCTGTGTAGAAAATCACTAGTGTTTAACCCCGTCTGTACAGACAATGAGTTGTGGAAAAAATCCGATAGACAGATGTGTTTTAGTCTTCAAGGGAAAAATCTGGAACTAAACAACCAACCCCGTAAGAAAGGCAAAACTCATGAGCCAAGTTTAAAGTGGAGTACAATCTGATTGTGAGATGGAACTCTCTCGTACTACGTTCATCTCTGCGGTGGATCCAGTGGGCA